AACTTTGGTCGGATTTGCTGTTGCGATACTAAACTTTCATAAGGACCTATTACCTCCCTGAACTATTTAATAGTGTATTTTAAAGGTATATATGTGCCCACGTGGACACATTATTATTTATAATTTTGCATTATTTTTTATGTCCACGTGGGCAAATATATATGTTTAAAATACGGTATTAAATAGTCTAGGGAGGTAATAGGTCCTTATGAAAGTTTAGTATCGCAACAACAAATTCGACCAAAGTTGAGATATTTTTCAGACCCTTATCCCTCAAAAGAAGGAAAAGAATATTGAAAAGAGGATCACCTAGAGCATTTGGATATTCCCACAATGGAACCATCTGCAAAAAAGGATGCTAATATAACCAGGAGAAAAAAGAAATGAGAGGAAAAAACGTGGACACAGGAGGAACGCATAATGACACAATTTCACTTCTCTCAAAACTTGACATCTCTGTCGAAATCAGGTTTATATCCACTTCATCCATCAGAGTTTACACTACAACAAAAGAGACTTTTAGTGGCATTTAATTTTTCTTTTAGTAGCAAAATGTATTGCCACAAAAATATTTAGCGGCATTTAATCTATTGCTATTGCATCCTGTGTCGCTAAAGGCTTTAACGACGTTTATTTAGAGTGTCGGTAAAGTCCTATAATATTGCCGCTAAAAGTAAATACTTTTAGTGACATTTATTTAGCAGCAATAACTATTGCCAGTAAAGCTTTCATATTTATAAATTATAATTTCCGATAAATGGAATCTATTTTAGTGGAAATTATTATAAAGATTATAATTGACCATGAATTCAATTAATTCATATGTATAACTAGAAAAATCAATACAAAATAGTAATAGAAGAATTATCAAAACTCAAACGACGTCATTCATTTAAATGAAAGAACAAATCAGACTTAATACATCCACTTTCTGGTCTTCTAGTGGTAAAAAATGAATTACATATAAGATTGTGTTCAAGTTATCAAAAGAAACAAAAAAGAATGTGTTCAACAATGAAAAAATAAGAAAAATGAGTCAGTGAAAGTATGACAGTTTGGATCACGATCATATGTAATATCGGAAGGATCTTTAGTATAGCCAACTTATATTGATATTTGTGGAGAAGCTTATTGCACTGTCAGAAATAAAGGAGAAAAATAAGTCTATCAACACAATCAAATTAGAAATCTACTAAAATAAACAATATGAATAAAATGTAGAGAGCATGAATGGAAGAGTTCTAACGAGCAATGAGAGAAGTCTTGGACATTTTAAAGTAGTTCATCTAAATTCCAAGCCATAAAAGATAAAATTGCAAAAAAACAACCAAAGAACGAATCAGGAAGGAGGATTTACTAAAAGATAAAATAGTTGATATGCACTCATGTATGGTAAAAGAGATTAACCTGTGACAAGAAAGAATTTGTTGCCACAAATGCCTTGAGAAGTTTTTATAGTGCCTGTTCATTGCCACTTTTTTTATTTTACAGCACTTGGGAATACACATCTCCTTCCCAAGCAACTCTGCCATGATATTATTCCTCAGGTGTCTCGCTGTTACTCAACTTCTCTTTCATCATGTCCTGAAAATAATTAGGATTATTGATTTATGACATTATAAATGTTATTTAAGTCATGTGAAAAGTACAAAACAATGTAACGAAACTTAGACGCTTTCAACAGATTAGTTGAAGCCCACTAATTCCTCATATTTAAATCTTATAAGCAATTTTTATTTCATGTTTCACTAGAAGACAGACAATCTTTTTTCAGTTTCATGCCAGCAAACTACACACTAGTTACTGAGATTACCAAGCATCTAAAATACTTCTAACATGATGTATTTTTCTGATAACTAGAAACATAGTAATCACCAAAAAAGAGAATTGACAAAAAGAGAACCAATTTCCAAACTAGTAACTACGCTGAGTTTTGAAATAATGAATCAAGTTCAATTCAATCAACCCCCTGAATAAAAGCTCTAGCTGTCCAGATTTTTTCCAATCAATTTTTAAGTCAGAATTTTCACAATTGAAAGATAAAATGCAGTATGTTGAATCTTTGTGATCTTTTTATCCTTATTTTTTTTTGTCATAATTGAACTTTGACTTCACATAATGATAGTAGCAGCAATAGAATATAATAGAATAGTTCTCTTACGAATACTTTTAGCACTATATAAAGAAATAATATATTGTTAAGATATTCTACTATCTTAGCTGACATGTTTAGTTTTATAATGGCAATAAGATGCTTACAAATAATAAATTCAAACAAAATAACAGATATATTCACCAGACTTCACCACCATATACACATGCATAAACTTGTCTAGAAGTATTGTAATAAAATATTTGCCACTAAACTGTAAGAAATCAAAAGGCTGCACCCATTATATTAGAAATTTACTCTAATATCACACAAGCTGAAGCCTGATAGTGGATTATACTATCTAGGTTCGCTACGTCATAATAGTAGCTGCTATGACGTCAGGGCTAGTCTAAAGTAATGCCTTTTCAAATCAACCAAGCAATTCAGATGCTCTAGCAGTTTTCAAAGAATCCACCAAAATCCAAGAAAGTGTAACTGAGAGAATGTATTCCAAATATTCTATCAAATTATTCTATTACTATTGGCACCAGTCACCTAGTGTTATATTACCTAGATGGACTAAGATGTGACATACTAAATGCAACATCTTTAAAATTCAGTATAACAAGGAAATAGATTTGGAGAAAGATAAACCTGACATAATTCCAATGTTCTTCCTCCCAGAAACATGGCTTATAATGGATGTAAAATATGTGCAGAAATCATACAACTATCACATGTATTCATGAAAGCAACTGCATGTCTGTGTGACCTGGTTGAGATAGAGGAAATTTAATTTGCGATCTCAGTTTATCCATGATAGTGGAAAATGAGGGAGGCTTCCATGGCTCACTTCAACATTATCAAAAGTAACTTTAGATAACACATTAAACAATCAGGAAACTAAATGACGTAAGCTTAAAGACATGTAAAAGAAACATATTTAATCCAAAAAGTCTCAATAATAGTCACCACTTGAGGATTCAAGTCACTTGGAATATATGTCATGCCTCTTCCTGATAAAGGCAACAACTTCTATCACCTAAAAAGTCACATTCATTTTAATGCATCCCATGCCATGTAAATAATCACGAGGCTCGACAGATGATCCTCTTATCTGATCGTCAAAAATCAAACTTGTAGCAAAAGCTAGAATGTACTATCTCAAAGAGAAACAATTTCAAGAATTGCAAAGCATGATTCTCATTTGGTCTTTCATAAACCAAACTTACTATCTGAACATTGTAGTCTGTAACCTGATAAAGAAAATTCCTCACAAACATTGGATACGATACAACTGTAACAACTAAGCAGTATCTATGTGATAAAATAAAATTCGAGGACTATGAGATAAATCAACAAAATATCACCAACCATCCTATTTAACATGCCCTATGAACATCTGGAACTAAGCCCTTTGACCCCTTAGCAACAGTATTATCTCTGCAGCAAGGAACAACTCTAGTCATATATATTGATATTCATGAACTAGACAATTAGGCAAGAGATGAAGAGTTCTGCAACTAATATTAACAACATAGTATCTGAAATAGTGTAAGATGCCTCTTGTTTCTACCTAAACTGACAATTTAAACTCTACCTCAAAATTCTTCAGATAAAGCAAAGTTAGAATAGAACTACTAGCCTTCAATACTTTTTATTTTTACTTCAATTTTTTTCTTATCCATATCACCAATTTAGTGTTCATATATTTTATCAATATTCCATCAGATATATGCACCAATAACCTAGAACTTGGAGGAATGTAAAATTTCATCCACTCAATGCAAAATACCACAAAGCATACACTAGATTTAGAGAAACCTCAACAGTCAACAATGCATTTCGACAGAAAAATCAAAGATTATAGATCACAATTAAGACCGAAAACTAAAAATTATCATCATAGTTATATGAGGAGAACTCTACTTATTTAAATACACATAACTTACACATTTTGATCTTCACGACAAATTGAATTGAAAAGAAATCAATAATTGGACGACAAGAAGAACGAAATAGAGAGTGCATGAACTTACAACAATTCGAGAAGGGGAGAGAGATGGATCTACAAAATAAGAAAGAGATGACAGAGAGTGAGAGATGATTCCTTGAGGAGGAAGAGACGAGTTGCGCACCATGGACGATAGGGAAGAAGTCTACCCTATTCTGTGTGGTAACAGTGGCGGTAGGGGGTAATGTTTTGCAAGGAAATAAATTTTAAGGGGAATATATTTAGTGAAAAAATTGTATGGAAGATTAATTTTAAATGCCAGTAATTAGTCATTCCTTCCCGTCAATTTCTCAAATGCTGCAAATACTTGTTCCCAGAGAACATTTTAGTGGCATTTACAAATGTCGTTAAAAGCTAATTTTGTTATAGTGTTACCTCTACAAAAAAGAACATAGATTAGAAAAAGATGATAAGGGGAGGGAAAATAAGAGATCACAAGAAGAATACTTACTTGGAAGAGCTGAGAAAGAAAGTTAGATGGATGGAAAGAACAAAATGCAACGGAAAGCTCAATAATTAAAAGACAAATAACAGGGAAGAAGAAAGAGAAGAGAAAACAGTGAAACTATTTTGCAGAGAAGGAGTTGCTCAGCATAAGCCATGTACTTTCTTGAGTTGCAACTATTGTTGTCCGATACTCAGCTTTTGTTGTTGACAACAACACTGTTGGCTGCCTTTTGCTGCACCAAGAAACTACTCCAGCACCAAGCTTAAACACAAATCCAATAGTTGAACGACGAGTCCTGCATAGTCAGAGTCACATTGACCAACCAACTTGCATTCTTCACTTCTTTTATACAGAAGACCATAACTAATTGTACTTTTCACATACCTTAGCATTCGTCTAGCAACCTCCATATGGTGCTTCTTTGGATTGTGCATGTAGCGACTCATCACACCAACTTCAAAAGAAATATCGGGTTGAGTCTGAGTTAAATAAATCAGACTACTTACCAATTGCCGATACTTTGTCATATCTTCTAAATTTTTTCCTTCTTGTGCACACATTTTATCATTTGGTTCAATTGGAGTTGCAATAGGCTTGCACTCCAACATTCCAAATTTCTTCAACAAGTCTCTGGAATACTTTCGCTGATGAAATTTTTTTCTCATCGAGTAAGATCAATCTCCAAACCAAGAGAAATGATTAAGCTATCCAAGTTCTTTCATATGAAATCGGACAAATAAATTTTCCTTCGTTTGAATGATTTCTTCTTCATTATCCCAGTTACAATCAATTCATCGATATAGACTAGCACTATATCTAGTTAGTTTCCCTCTATCGACTTTGACAAACAAACTTGAATTTGCATATGTAATTAAATAACCACTTTGAGTTAAAAATTCAGCAATTTTACTGTACCAGGCCTTTGGCGATTGCTTTAATCCATAGGGCGCCTTCCGCAACTTACAAACATATCCAGGGTGCTCTTGACTTTGAAAACCCATTGGTTGAGCCATGTAAATCTCTCGATCCAGCTCCCCATCTAAAAATACATTTTTAACATCCACGTGTTAATGATCCACAATAAATAACGGAAAACCTTTTTCAAGGAGTTCATTGCGGCGACAAAGACGAAAGAAAGAAGGAGATAAGATTAGGAAATTCTATGTTTTAGGGTAGGGGTGTTCATGGGTCGGTTTGGATCGGTTATTGGTCAAAATCAAAATCAAATCAACTTAATCGGTTTTAAAATTATCAAAACCAAACCAAACAAAATATAATATATATTTATCGGTTTGGTTGTTATCGATTTCGATTTGGTTTGGTTCGGTTATTTGGTTATTAACCATAGACAAAAATAAAAGAAATAATTCATTCAAAACGTGAAAAAAGTGACAACAATCCATTCAAAACGAAAATAGTTAGAATGACTGACATTACATAACTTTTAATCGTTGAATTTACTATGAATAAAGCTTCAAAGTTTATTATTTTGGTCTAGAAGGAAGAGACAGTGACATTTTCAATCTCATAAAAAATTGTCATAGACACTCATATACATGAAACCAATAAAATAAATATTCTCACTTTGGGCATTTTTTGTTTTCATAAGTAAATTATAAATAAATTTTGATGAAAACATATATAAGATCTTTAAAATTGTTTATAAAAATAATATATTATGTATGTAAAATAATAAAATATATGTATATAATTTATCGGTTTGGTTTGGTTATTTTTTCAGTTTTTTCGAACAAAAGCATAACCAACCCAAATACTATCGGTTTTTAAAAATCTAAAACCAAACCACACCTAACCCAAATAAAATCGATTTATTTAATCGATTTGATTTGATTATTTCAATTTGGATCGATTTTTATCCAAACCGTGAACACCCCTATTTTAGGATATTAGTATAAAGCCTGGACGGTTCCCTTGATGAATCGGGCCAGGAATTTTGGTTGGATTTGACTTTTTTTTATTTTGTTTTGATTTTTATTCTAATGTTAGATCCGTCTAAATCTATTTGTACAAATAATTTATTTGAATAAAAGAGCCTGAAGTTTCACCAAAATGTATTTAAAAAAGGAAAATTATCCCTTGTAAATTTTAAAATAATAATAATAATAATAATGAATAAATAACAATAAAAAATATATCCCTTGTAAATTAACATTTGAAAAGTAAGTCAAAAAATAAAAAGTAGGGGGAAACCTACTTTTGATTTTTAATTTATTTTAAGTCATTTTTAATATTGCCAAACACTTTCTAACTTATTTTAAGTCATTTTTGACTTATTTTAAGTTGTTTTTATATTTACCAAACATTTCCAGAAGTGAACTTAAAAATAGATTTGACCAACTTTTAAGTCAATTCAAACACCATCTTAATTGTAAATATTCCTCCATTAATAATTATTTAAAAATACTTTTTCAACTTAAAAAAAAAGTAATTAAAATCACTTTTTATGTTTTCGCGAACACTTTGAAAACTGAAAAAAAAAAAAAACTTACTAAAAATAAGCCAAATAATCCAAACGGCCATAATAATTTTTGGGCTTAAATTTACCATTTTTAAAAACGGGTTATAACTATTGATTTGAGATATCAGATTCAGAATTTGCTGTTGGATTCATGTCATCACGCTAATAGCATTCGTTTGCTTCGTACCGAAGTCGAAGACGAATCCGAAATCCCCCATTTTCTACCCGCACAATCACTCTGAATGTTCACTTAACCTGCTTCGATTCTGAGAGAATTTGCTTCAATTTGTCTTTCAATTTCATAGGTTTGTTCGTTTTTTCATTGTGTTGAATGTATTTGAGTTTCCAGATCTTGTTGAAGTGCATGCTTTGATACCCTAACGGATTGTTTGACATTGATTTTTTGAACTTCAAGCTTTTTTCTCATTTTAAGTTATTTGATTGGATTTGTATAGTCTACTTTTATAACTGTATTTTTTGATTGCAGGTGTCAAAATTGGATTTGATTTGTTTGGATCGAGTGACAATGGTTTCCTTCGAAATGAATGATCGGAAAAGTAAGTCAACTTGTCATGGCTTGTGAACAACATTAACTTTGTTTTTCTGCTGGTTATTTCATATTGTAGGCTTTGAAGACTTGTATTACTAACTAACATTGGAATGTTGAATGCACAGACGGGTATCAATGAACTTTGATAGTTTTTTGTAATTTATATTGGCATCTCCTTGGGAACTATGTCCAACTAGATATCGTGGTCTAGCCTATGTTTGAAATGGTTATTGGGATTATGGATATTTTGTATCTGATTAGTTTTAACTTGATATAGGGAATCTTGATCATGTTTGTCTTAGCTCAAGAGTACAGAACAATTTAAATACGTATAGTTTGGTGTAATTGTTACATTGATTTTTTTTCTGGCATGGACATACTAGGCTTTATAGGTAAAAGTTTTCCTTAATTAGAGTGATTAGTTCTGCAGTGTTCCTATTTTATTAAGTGCGACATTAGCAATTTTACCGGGTCTTTTAGCAAACATTTTGTGTATTTGATTGTATATGAAGTTTAATATATTATTTAACTTGTATTATATTTTATAATTACGAATGAAAGAGAATGTTAAATTAATAGTCGAAAAGTTAGTTTGACTTTGAGAGAGAAGACACTAGATCAAAACTTAAAAATTGATGAGTTAAATAACTTTGAATTTCAGAAACTTGTGAGTTGCATATTTAATATTTTTTAGAATGTTGTTGAACTTTCGGACAGCCCAAAATGAAAAATTGTGTCTTATAAACTGGGATAGAGGGAGTATTGATGATTCTGCTACTTAATGCAAATCTAGATGTTGAAAGAAAGTTACATAAGAAAGGAAGTATTTTCTGTTCTATTAAGTTGTTATGTCTACTAAGCTTTGGATGCTTGTTGAAACAGAGATTGGGCTAGGGTTGACTGGATTCGGAGTGTTTTTCTCATTCTTGGGGATTATTTTCTTCTTCGATAAGGGACTAATTGCCATGGGGAACGTAAGTACAATTATGCTGCCACGATCATGCTATCTCTCAATTTTTCCATTTTGTTCATCAGCTTTTATGTTCTTTCTGCTAATCCCCAGTTGACACTCTGTTATTTTACCGAATCAGATCCTCTTCTTCTCAGGGGTGGCACTAACCATTGGTCTCAAGTCATCGTTGCAATTTTTTATGAAACGCAGCAACTATAAGGTTTACTTAGTTTTATATGTTCTTTTCCTTCTGCTTGTCACCCCCTCTTTCCTCTTGTTCTCTGTCGAGATAGATATTTTGCTGATATATCTCTTGTGTTTCTACTACTAATCTTGTTTATTCTTTTTCTCTTTCCTTGTTTCGTAGGGAACAGCTGCATTTGGTGCTGGATTTTTCTTTGTTATCATTGGTTGGCCTATATTAGGAATGATTCTCGAGGCTTATGGATTCATTGTACTCTTCAGGTATATTGAATATATGTTCCCTTGAATGTTATACTTTCTCTTATTATTCCTTTAGTTGCTGATGAATTGTTTTGTACAGCGGTTTCTGGCCAACACTATCAGTATTCCTGCAAAAGATACCTATTCTAGGTTGGATTTTCCAGCAGCCGTTTGTCAGATCGGTATGTTATGTTTTCAAAAGTCATATATCTCATTGCATTACTACTGTGTCAGAAGAAGTTTGTTAAATAGTTTCTGCTGCAAAGCCGTTTATCTAAGTCTAAGGTGGCACTTGGACTAGCAATCATTTTTCTATCTTTTACTTTGCTTTTACTTTGTTCTTGGTTTTACGATTTTCTGAATGGGGGAAAGGCACATCCTTGAATTACACACGAAAAATTCAGCAACTGCTCTTAACCGTACTAGCCTTTGTTATGTCATCACATTCTGTGTAATAAAAGAAAGAAATCCTTGAAGAACTTACAAGAATAATACAGTAAAGTTTCACTTATTCCCACCCTATAGGTCTACTTCAATATATCTCAACCACCACTCTAAATTCAACACACTAGCTTTTTCTGCACACCCTATTTACCTTTGTTCTAGCATTTCACAATCTTTTGAACTCTATAGCCCCCATATATTTTCCTCAAGGACAGATGAGTTCACTGTAAAGTGTAAATTACCCCTTGTTTGATCATTTGATCAATAACAATGCATAGATGGAATGTCTTCTAACTAAGCTTTACAAACAATTAATATTCTTATGTGATGTCCTTTATTACAACTAGTGGTTATGGTACATATTGATCGTTTGCCTTTCTATTTCTTCTTCATTAAGTCCACATTGATTCTGAAATATTGTAGGTCATTGTGAACATCTTCCCTTTATATGATTTTGGAGTTACTTTGTCCATTTTTAGCATGTCCAATTCGTGTCCCACCTAGGGTTTGGTGCATGTGGAGTACCATCTCAAACGACTTTCTATCGTAATATCATCTATGCATTCTACTTGCTCTCTCTGTTGAATCAAATCATTTCTAATTTGCTTAATAATGTTGCTTAGGCTTATTTCTTAATAGTCATTTTTATGACACTCATTACGTATATATTTAGGACCAACATTCACCTCCATATAATGTGTTGGTCTCATGACCATTGTTCTTGGTTGTACATCGTTATTCTATTGACTTGCCTATCACTTTGTTAGGGACCTCCTTATCACATAGCACTTTCATG